GAAAAGGCGGAAGACTTTCGAAACGTCGTCCTCTACATTTGTAGGTTTCTGCAACAGGCAGTTGCTGTCCATTTGAAACTTAGATTCACACCTTAAATTTTTCATTAGTATTCTTTTAAAGACATTACTTTATGCAGTGAGACTATGTAATATTCATTCAACCTATTAATTATTATTTAACAAATGAAATGTAATCAGTTGCTTTGAAATTATTTCAAATCTGGTCTTTAATTATTTTCTGTTTCTGGTGATACAATATCTATAGATATTAGATATCCACACTGGAAGTTTGAAAAGTTGTCCCAATTTCTTTTTAAAGAATTGTGAAGCATTTTAACTTGATTATCATCCAGATGCTAAAGTTTTTGTTTTATTATTAGGAATATTTAAGTGTATTATTCCTTATATGTAATAATTCTAGGGCCAAAACATTAATAAAAATAGTGCTTAAGTTTCTCGTAAATTTTATAAATGTTTGTATAACTCGAATAGTATCATTTAAAAATTGTAGAAATATAAACCACATTGAAGATTTAAAAGAGAGATGCTTATTTTTTACATGTAAATTAGTGTTCGATTTAGAAACACGCATTTATTTTGTGAATGTGTTTTTCCAGCCATGGGAAGATCATCCTGGTTCCCAGTTAGATTTTGCTAAGAAGCGACTCCAGCTTGGAGAAACGCTCTATTATAAAGTTTTAGAAAATGTTATGACAAATGAAAGAAAAAGACTTCCACCTAAAACAGATTTGTCGGTAAGTATTTGTTTTTATGAATTATTTATGGGTTGTTACTACCAACCCTATTTCTATATAGTGCTCCATTGTAAAACCTTGATATGAATACCTAAATCTCATCACTATTGAAACCCAAAGGTGAGATATTAAATTTGGAATATGATCCTTGTGTATGTATTTCAATATATTTTTGCATTATTTCTCTTAAAATGTCTGTGAAATAGGATAAAAATTTGAGTTAAGTTACTGACTTGGTTTAATGTTTTTGTTTAAAAAACATTTACTAAGAAAATTTAAAGCTGAAGATACATAGATATTTGATTACATAATTTGATAAATTTACTTAGTAGTTACTGAGAGGAAATTAAACATTTAATTTTTATTTTTAGAATTCATATAAGTAGCAATAGTTTTTAATAAGTTTATATGCTATAGTGATAATGAAAATTTTAAATTTATATACTTTAAATTCTTTTTTTTTTCAGAGTCTCTTGGAAAAGGATGAATTTCACAAGACATTATTTGCCTGCTGTCTAGAAATAGTACTGTTCTCATACAATTCTCAACGGTAGGTAGTATTTGTGACCAAGATGATTATGGAAAAAGGGGTTGTAAAATTAGGTTAATATTAAATAGTTCAATTAAAGTGTAAATATAATATAATGTGCTGAAGTTTTTTCTTAGTTAAAAGTCGTATTTTATGAAAAGCTGAATAATGATTAGTCTCAAAACAGAGAAAAAATATCCTGAAAGATGAATCTTGTCTTAATGTTTTTGATTGGCTCCAAGGCCTCATTTTTGTGAACTTCCAAATACTTGCAGTTTACAGTGAACTAGTTCAAAATCAAACTTCTTGAACATAGTTCCACTGCTATTGAGAGAAAGGAAAAATTAATACAAAGGTAAGGTCATGGTCTTTGATACTATGCAGTAGTACAATACTATTACCATGTCACTAAGTTTTTGGCAAACGTAATGTTGCCTGGAGTGTCAACAAATGTTCTAAAAGATAGTGATGGTTTTGCAGTTGAGCAGTTTGAGTCAGTGATTCATCTTTAGATCTATGACACATATTTACTTATGAACGACGCTAAAAATTTTTTGTTTGGTTTTCACAGATTTTGTCACAATGAGAACCTGCAATCCACTTCCTTGACCACATTTGCTTTAAAACTGAATACGTCTAAGTGAAGTTACATTGTAATTTTTTCCCATTTTGTACACAAGAGTAAATGGGTTCAAGAATTATTAAAGATGAATTTCTTATGCTACTCAAAATATTTTATGTACTATCAAAGAATTCGAACTACTATATTCTACTGTCATGTAATCAATAAAAATTGGTTTACATGGATCAAACCTCATTAAATAGACAACTTTGCCATGATTTACAAATATATTGTTCATTCAGTTAGAAATAGGTTACCTGAAACTGAATTTTTTTTTTTTAAATTCCTAACCTAAAATTAATTGCACACAAATTCAAAGTGTAAATGCATGTTATATTCACATGGGACCTAACCTAACAGGGAAAAGTACAACACTATAGTATCTAAAAGTGACTGCTTATAATTCTTCAAATTGAAGTGGCTTTTGCATAGTATGTTACAAGAACCTTTGTTTCAAATGCATTTGTCGTCCAATGCATGTTATATTCACATGGGACCTAACCTAACAGGGAAAAGTACAACACTATAGTATCTAAAAGTGACTGCTTATAATTCTTCAAATTGAAGTGGCTTTTGCATAGTATGTTACAAGAACCTTTGTTTCAAATGCATTTGTCGTCCAGACCACATGATTTATGACTATTCTCTACTTAATTCAAAATCTAGTTTCCCTTGGAAATTGATGCCCACTGGTTTTGTTCGTACAACTGTTCGCAGCAGAACTGGGCATATTTATTCAGACAACAAATGTGCTTGCTTGAACAAGATGCATAGAAGTATGTTGTAAACCTCCGTGATACCACCTGGTGACTAATGAGCTGATCAAAGTCTTTCTTTAAATCATCCTATTTGTCAATACATTGGTGTTTTTCTAAACTTAAAGAAATTTCTATGTTATAGCTTTTGTTTGTGTAAAAAGAAAAATAGACTGTGAATACTTTTTTTTTTGATTATTTTCTAAAAAGAAAAAAACCTGTCTTTTAGCACATTCCCCTGGATTTTGGAGGTGTTTGATTTTTGGTCTTATGACTTCTACAAGGTGATAGAGCCAGTCATTCGAGCTGAAGAAGGATTGTCAAGAGACGTAGTGAAGCACCTGAATCATGTTAGTTAAAATATATTTTTATCATCTATTTCTTTCTGATTTGATGCTTTTTGTTTTACTTTCTTTCAGTACCTCTGTATCTTTGTTGTGATGGCAGGGATGAAGAAATGAGAAACAGATTCACTTAACACTGATATTTTGATGTTTAATTCTTTGCAAAGAATATTTAACATATCTGAAAAGTATCTGTTAGTAAAACTGATATTTTCTATTATATTAGATTTTTAATACATTTCCTGTTTGCTTATAATGTCAGTCTAATTTTTCCTGTTTGAACCATTACTTTATGAAAATGTTACAGGTAAAGTTATTTCTTATTTCATATCTATTTTGCATAAATTTCAACAATTTGTCTTTTTTTTAATGTTTAATAAAGAAAATAAACTATACCAAACCTTGTTATTATTGAGAAAAAAATTAGTTCAGGTTATCTTCCCATTTCTGTGTTTTAGGTTGAAGAGCAGATCCTGGAAAGTAAGGCCTGGTCTTCAGAGTCTCCCCTGTGGGAAGCACTCAAGTTATCAAGACTTCCTGTCCCATCTTGTGAAGAGGTGTGTGGTACTAATGTAAACCTAAATATCTGTTTTTGTTAACACTCAATGTTTTTTGTCGTGTTTTGAATGTTGTAGAGTATATGTGAATAGATAGTGTGATTTTTTTTTTAATTGCTTTCAGTGTTATTCTTCTAAACATCAAATAAAAATATTAGTGGATGCAAAAATGGAAAAATAGGATTAAGTTGTAGTATTTGTGTAATGTAGTTAGGTGGAAATATATTTTTATTTTCATTTTGTTTAAAGCTTTGCAAAAGGCTATTATATATGAAAAATAGTGAAAGGGATATCATGTAAATCTTTCATATTTTGTAATCTAAATGTAGTTCGCATTATTGAAGCTCTTTTACCCTATCTGCCTGGGCATCATTTACTGCGTATGTCACATGGTTTTAGTGACTTGTATTCAAAAATTTATTAAACAACTTTTTATTTATGTTATACCAATTAGTATAGCATAAAATCTTAGCTAATAATTCATATTTTAATAGTATACAAGTCTTAAGTTTTTAATTTTATAAGGCAATATTTTAAAAAATTCTTAAATTTCCCCTAGGCATCTCCTCTTCTCTATTTTATCCACCACCCTTACAGTAAATACAAAATTAAACTTAAATTACTCACTATAAAATCGTCATTGCTCAGACAAACTACAATTTTAATAGCCTTCAATCTTGTTTGGTTACTGAGCCATCAAATAGAAAATCAGGCATCTTTTGTCACATTCTCTCTTTCAGGATTTGTTAATAGTTCTCTCTTACATTTAATTCTCTATTATCTATAACCAATAGAAAACCAAGGTTTTCATCTGTCAAATGACGTATTATATCACGTTGTTTTCTGAATGGAGAATTGTCAATTTCTCTGTTGGTACAAGCTTTCTTTCCATGGGAAAGATAACAATTAGCTTGAATGAACTTGTAAAGGCTCTTGTCGCATAGTTAGAAAAACAGAAAAATTGTGATAGTTAGAGGAAATTGTCTGCTTTTTGCATGTTATTATTCTGTGTTTTTTGGTGCATTATTTAATTAAATAAAAAGGTATTTAGTATGTTACTACCATAAGTATAAAAATAAAGTACGGTTAAGTGTTATCGACAGTTAACAGAAAAAAAAACAGGTAAGTACTTCTTGTTCTCTATTTATTGTTATAAAAGTCACTAGAAGGTAAAAATAGGGATCTCTAAGTTAGTTAGGGTTAGATTATGTAAAATCAATAATAATAATAATGTTTCACAAGGCACGCACATGAGCAGCTTGCGGGTAACATAATTTGATAGCTTAATGTTAACCACACGTTTCCCAAGTGACTTTCAACTTATAATGGTGTGAATAGTAGTTAGACACAGCTCAAACGGAAATAAAACAATAAACTTTAATTATGAATATATGTATACTGTTATGAGTTTACAGCTACTTAGGATAAATGAATGTAGTTTCATGTTACAATCTGAAGTCATTCCAGAGAGAAAAAAAAGGGTAATTTAGATTTTTGGGGTGGTTACGAGGTCGGTCAAATTGACCAACCTTGTATAGAATTAGGGTAGAGAAAATAAAATATAAAGTTTTACTGAAACAAACATTTGAAATGTATTTAAGAGATGAAGAAAATATTTTTAATTTTAAAACGAAAATCACTTTGCACACCATTTAAAACAAATACTCATTATATTCAAATTTTTTTTTAGTTTATATAAAACCTTCACTAAAAAATGACTTTTTGTAGGTGAAAGACTTGTAATGTTTCATGACAGATTGCCAAAGTTTGTGAAGGTAAACGTTAGAATCAAATCTATAAAGACTTTAAATGAGTATAAATAGGTCACGTGGTTGGTCAAATCAACCGAGTCCTTGTTGAGAGAGTTAAACCTCTTTTTCTTTTACAACTATATATTATGATTTCGCTAATTTTTTGTAGATTTTACATATGTGCCAAATTCTTTACCATATTGAAGACTAAATGTTTAATGCAGAAATTACCATAGCAACATACTACTCTTTGGGTCCAGTGGATTCCAGCATTAATATACAACTCCTAAAAACACGTATCACTGTATGTTTATACTGCCAAAGATTGCTATATGAATGTTCACTAGCAGTTTGCATTGATTCACTTTATGAAATGTACCTTTTTAGTATTTCTCTTGACTGTAATTTTTTGCAAGTTTTTACAGTTATATCCACAGGTGTATTCTGGGTGAGTTTTTATCTCCCCCCCC